GTTTCTCCGTGTCTCTGTTTATTAGCCCGTGCCTCACTCTGTTTCTCTATCAGCCTGTGCCTCTCTCTTGTTTGTGTGTGTGTGTCTCTTTCTGTTTCCCTGTGCGAGTGTGCTTGTGTCTGTCTCTGTGTCGCCCTGTGTGTGTCTGTGCGCGTTTCTCTTTGTATCTCTGCCGGCCCCTGCAGCAGTTTTACACACACACACACACACAGGGTCGTAAGCGTAAAGGTCAGAGGTTGTTCTTTAATGAGAGTGCCGCTCTGGTTTTCACTCACTCCTGAATAAATAAGACAGCGCTCTCAGTTTGCACAAGTACAGAACTGGTGGGGAGCAGTAACTGCCTTAACTCGGGACTGTGCCAGAGACACAGGGAAGATTATTGGAATGGGAGAGGGGAAATATACAAACTGCTGGTGCACTTGAAAAAAAAACTTTGGAAAAGTTATTGTCTCACTCCTTGAAGAGTTCTGGTTTTTTTTCGGTTACTAATTCTTTTCTTTGTCCGAGCAACAAATATTTAAAATTTGTTTTTTTTTTGAGGGGGGAAGAGGGGTTTATTTCTCTGTGTTAGTTTGTGTGTGTGTGACAGAGAAAGAGTTTGTTGCAATGTCTCATTCGGCCAGCGAGGACCCGGAACGGACAATGCAGCTCAGACACCTCAACAAGGCGGTGTGCAGGAGTTTATTTGGTAAATTGGACCATGAGGAGCTCAGGAAGGATATGAAAACTCAACTGAAAGAGATCAAGAACTCCCACTGCCAGAGGTGGAACTTCGACTTCGAGAACCACAGTCCCCTGGCTGGCAATTACGTCTGGGAAGCTTTCGACTCCCGGGATCTTCCCAGTTTCTACTGGGACTCCCCTGTCTCTATCCCCAACGCCGAAGCAGCAGGCGATACAGAGACTCCCCAGGAGCTGGAGAGCAGTGGCCAGGCGAAGGAAAACGACAAGAGCCCCAATAAAATCGGGGTGAAAGCCAGCACTAGGAGCAGAAAGCGGGAGAGCACAGCCCCCATCACAGGTAGACTGGGAAAACCCAAGTTTTAAAAGACTTGACTGGGTTGTCGGTCTGGTGTCTGTTTACAATTCAGTGGATAAACCTGGGCTGCAATAGACAAGCTATGGGGCAGTCAAATAGTCAGTTGTCTATTTGAGTGTGGGGTGGGCTGGGGGGAGGGGGAATGAAAGTTGCATGCAAGTCTAAAATGTTTTGTTCTTTCAAATAAAATCGGTGCGAATCTGTAGCCTACTCACTTAAACAGAGCGTAAAGCTATAACATCTCACAAGTGGCTCTGTGATATTTACAAAACATCTTCCGATTACATTTACACGTAGACTTGTGTTGTCCATTTCATTGTGTGCTGACGGTCTTGGCTGTAACGTTTGTTTCTTATAAATTTGTTATGAATCTAATGTTGAAAAACCTTGGAATGTACCCAAAAAATGCCCAATTTATCTGTAGTTTGTAGATTTTTTTTTGGTGGGAGGGATGTTTAGGGTGGCGGCGAAAATCGAATTTGGCAGAAAAAAAGGAAAAAATAAACTTGGCAGCTCGGCTCTACTTGCTTTGATGAGTGAGTTGGAAGTTTTTTTTTGTGGGGTGGGGATTCGGCTTTACTACATTATGTGACGCCAGATCACAATGTTTTTGAAGTTCCAGTCCACACCTTGTTTTTCAAAAGCTGCCCCTTGCTAAATTCAAGTGTTGCTCTGATGTGTGCACACACAGCCGTGTTAAATCTCTCCCTCAATTTCTGCAGATTTCTTCCCAAGACGCAAGAGGATGGCCAGTTCCAAGCCTCTGACTCCTAGAGAGACGACTCCACGGAAAAGGTTCCGGTAAAAATTACCCAGGACCGTGAGTGAGAAAGAGGTCAGTCTGAAATGTTAAACCCATGATTCGGAAATCCAAAGTACTGGGGAGTTCTATCAGCTCATATATGATTTTGTGATCGGAATACACTGGGCCATTATCAATTATTTTAGACTCTATGTCTGTAAAGTTTGCAAAATTCAATTCTTTCTAATAATAAATTTTATGATAAAAATAATTTAGAGTCATAGAGTTATACAGCATGGAAGCAGACCCTTTGGTTCAACTTGCCCATGCCGACCAGACTTCCCAATCTGACCGTTTGCTAGCATTTGGCCCATATCCCTGTAAATCCTTCCTATTCATACACCCATCCAGATGCCATCCAACTATTCTGATTCCTGGATTTTTTTTATGCATTCGTGAGTTGTAGGTACATATTTATTACCAACCCCTAATTGTCCCAGAGAAGGCGGTGGTGAACTGCCTCCTTGGGGTGTCATTACACCCATAATGCTGCTACAGAGGGAGTTCCAGGATTTTGCCCCAGTGACACTGAGGGAATGGTGAAATATTTCCAAGTCAGGATGGCGAGTGACTTGGAAGGGAACTTGGGGGATGTGGTGTTCCCATGTATCAGCTGCCCTTGTCCTTCTGGATGCTAGCAGTTGTGGGTTTGGTGTTGCAGTGGTGAGCTATCTTTTATAATGTAGAATTTAGCAAAAGCGAGTAATTAAGTGAATGAAGTCAAATTAGAACAGTGGGCGAGTTTTATGCCTAAAGATAGGTGGTCACATTAATGAGTTTGAAAAGGGTTGAATTCCTAACAGATATTGAGTCTGAAAGGTATAAATGATTGACAATGGCCCTGGGTAATCTGATCACAAACTGATATGAGCTGATAGCCAATACTTTGAATGCTGCCACTGTGCATTAGTGGTAATCAAACTCATGTTATTTCTATCAAAATGTACAAGCTGAATTTGAAGTACCCCCTTTGGCTTATTTGGGGGAGAAGTTGTAACTTGGCCCTCCTTGCAGGTTCAATTCTGGCTGTTTCTGGGTTGCCCTTTTACAATTGCAACCCCCCGCCCCCCACCCCAACAACACACATATACAATGGCCTCCCCTCCCAGACATCCTGCTTGGATTGTGGTTAGGATTCCTCACCATGTGTCAAGGTGATCACCCCCTACTCCCTCTCCTCCAAACTTCCAACCCAGAATGGGCAGGAATTAGCTGCCTATTCCCGGGAAGGGGTGGGAGGATGTGGGAAGTGGGGAATGTGAAGGAATTGAAAGTGACAGGGAAATGGGAAGGGCTTTTCTCAGGAACCCCAACTGTAGTGGAATATCGAGTTTGAGGTGCTCAGCCTTGAGGGGCTGCCTATAATTTTTTCTTAACTCCCGTTTTACCCCTGATTTTCAAACTCCGTGTGAGTTTTTTACCCCTGTCAATGCCGGATCTTAATCTGGGGGGAAAAACGAAAGAACTGCAGATGCTGTAAAGCAGAAACAAAAATAGAAATTCCTGGAAAAGTTCAGCAGGTCTGGCAGCATCCGTGGAGAGAAAGAGAAGCTAACATTTTGGGTCCAGTGACCCCTTCTCAGAACTGATTTCTCGATCAGTGAATGTCGTTTTGTGGTTGACACTTGTTACGCTTACAGGAGGTTGGCTGTCATTGGTAAGGCCAGTATTTGTTGTCTAACCCTACTTTCCCTTGAAATGAGTGACTTGTTAGGTCATTTCAGAGGACACTTGAAAAGTTAAGCATTTGCTGTGGGTCTGGAGTCACACATGGGACAGACATTTCTCCCTAAAGGACACCAGTGAACCTGATGAGTTTTTACATACATTCTGAAGAGGGATCTCATGAAGAGTCATATTGGACTCAAAACATTAACTCCGTTTCTCCCTCCACAAATGTTGCCAGACCTATTGAATTTCTCCAGTCTTTCATTTCAGAAATCCAATGTCCACCAGTATTTTGCTTTAATTTGAGGGTTTGTGCCATCCTTTATGATATTTCAATGTTATTTATTCAATTCCACCAGCAGCCATGATGGGATTTGAAATTCTGAAGATGGGTCACTGGACTGGAAATGTTAATTGTGTTCCATCTTCACAGATGTTGCCAGACCTACTGAGTTTCTCCAGCACTTTCTGTTTTGGTTTTGTTTCAGATCCCCAGAGCCAGTAGCCTCTGGATTACTAATCCAGTGACATTATTGCTATGTCACATCTTGAATTGTCAAATATTTCCTTATTGGCTTCTGTGGTATCTCCATAAACATGTGTTTGGCAACTTGTTTTGTTCAGAAAACTTGCAAAAGTCAAATTGTTCTGAAATGAGGGCAGCTGGGCCTGTTTTAAGAGCAGTGAATGATGCTCCTATTCCTGAGATGGGATAAGATAGACCACCGTGAAAAGGAACCAGCTGCCGTTTCTGCTGCTGGTCACTTTCCTGTCATCTCTTCACCAATCCCCGCCTCTGATCATGCCAGCATATGTTTCATGTGGGATACACATGAAGTTTGAAGTCTTGCCCAAATGGACAAGAGAAAGCCAGTCAGTCCTTCCAACCTACCCTGCCATTCAATAATGGCTGATCTGATTTTAACCTCATATCCATGATTCACCCTTACCCTTCCCCCTCTGAAATTCAAATCCTGCAATTATTCCTAACAATCCCTTCCTAACTATGTTTGTCTGGGGGTAGACAGGGGGTTGTTAAAACGTGACAACGTTTTGGCCCACACAGTCGAATAGCACATTGACGGTCAACTTTCCAGACTCTCACATGTCTGCTTGAGTGAGGTATGGGTGGGAAAGGAGGATGCAGTGAGTGGCCTCCGCTTCCCATCAAGAAGGGGAGGTTTCTTTAAATTAAAAGGAACATTTACAACTTGAACGTTGGTTGTCCTTGTGCCTAGCTTGCAAACACGCCAAGGAGAAATATCACTCGAGTCAACATGCCTTGACACTGTGCCATACACTTCTTGTACAAGGCTCATCTTTGTTTCAAATCCTTCCATGATGTGGAGGTGCCGGTGTTGGACTGGGGTGGACAAAGTCAGAAATCACACGATACCAGGTTATAGTCCAACAGGTTTATTTAAAATCACAAGCGTCCATTTATGCAAGTGCCATGATAAAACTGGATCTTGAGTTCAAAATGCACGTTGGGTTTGGTTTTTGAAAATTTGAGAAAATATTTGAATTTTGCAGATGTCCCTCACTGGGTTCCTACCCGGATCATTCCCAACCCACTCAGTGAGGTGATCACTAATGCCACTTGTCTTTAATTCCCTGCTGTCTGATTGGAACAGGTGAAAGGATGAGAAATTAACAACAGTGAACCAGAGGTGCAAGGTTGGACATTTTCTTTAGGAAGGCTGGCGTTTAAAGCTCTAGAATTGATTGGGATCACATGATCAGATTTTCTCCCATTGTCCAGAACTTTAGGCTAAATGCCCTCAAACTACAAATTGAAAGTTGTGAAATGATTTCTCATTTTTTAAATCTGTTACAGCCAGGATTTGTTGCTAACCAGGCTGGGGAATTTGAAGAAGTGTCTTAAAGGAGTAGAGACAAATAGGGATAGGGTTTAGGGGGGAAATCCAGATCTCGGGGCAGGAATGTGCTACTACTGATGGTGAGGTTAAAAAAAACAGGGACAAGCAGGAAGTTAGAATTGGAGGAGCAAGGAAATCTTTCAGTGCAGGAGCAGCTTGCAAAGTCAGGGGTGGGGTTTGCAGGTTAAGGGGCAGGGATTAACCAGTCAGGGTAGGGACTTCCAGGGTCAGGGGAGGGGCTTAGTGAAACAGGGGTGGGGCTTGCAGAGTCATGGGAGGTGGACAGTACATGGAAGGATTTCACCCTTCTCCTGACCAAGGAGCAGCGCAAGGAAAGCCTGTGCTTTCAAATAAACCTGTTGGACTATAACCTGGTGTCGTGTGATTTCTGAATTTGTCCACCTCAGTTCACCATTGGCACCTCCACATCATGGAAAGATTTGAGGCAAAGATGAGACTCAGTGTCAAGGTGTGTTGACTCAAGTGATGTTTCTCCTCAGTGTGTGTGCAAGCTAGGCACAAGGACAACCAACATTCAAGTTGTAAATAATGTTGTTTCATTTATATCTTTCAGATACTGTTTGCTTTGGGTAAAGTTAATCAGATCCTGAATGTGATAAAAGCCTGAATGGGAGATTCCCAAGAGCGCAAGACCACTTCCAAACATCTGCATTGGGATTCGATGTAGATTCTGTGTTCCTGAAACCTGAAGCACTGTCAGTTCGCCTGTGATATCCTTGTGTGAAGGACCTTCCAGGACACACTCTGCACACTCAAAACGATACAACAATTCACTGACACTTCTCACCACAAAGCACAAGAAACTAAAACCCAAGACATTATCCACATCGAACACTCTGAGGACTATTGATAGCTAAAACTGTTGGCTTTATTTGGCTGGGAGCGAGAAAATCGGCTTGGCTGCCTCAACTTGAGTCAAGGGAAAGCTACAGCGACACACCTGGTGACATGTACTTCAAGGTGATTGATGTGAATGCTGCAACAAGGAATCAGATGTAGCATTGATGCAGCATCACCCTAGCGATGTACCTGATTGAACTGCCACTGTACTTACTAACTGGTCATGATGTGGAGGTGTTGGTGTTGGACTGGGGTGGACAAAGTCAGAAGTCACAGCGACACCAGGTTATAGTCCCAACAGGTTTATCTGAAAACACAAGCTTTCGGAGCACTGCTCCTTCGTCTGGTGAAGTCATTACCTGACCAAGGAGCAGTGCTCCGAAAGCTTGTGTTTTCAAATAAACCTGTTGGGACTATAACCCTGGTGTCGCTGTGACTTCTGACTTTTTAACAAACTAGAAACAATGGTACATAGCTTGTGATCGCTATGATACATTATACTGCTACAGAGGGAGTGATTGCTACAGTATGGCATGGTAGACCATGATGAGCATGTGCTAGAATGCTCGAAATGAACATTTCTGTCTGCCACTTCTCCAGGTATTATCCAAACATGCAAGAGGTTCCACAACTAATATAAAACTCTCTGGGAGTACCTGAAATATGTGAAGCTTTGCATCAGTGTGGAGTCATACAGAAACTGTGATAAGCGGAGCATCTGGGGGGGACAGTGGGAAGTGGTGGACTGAGCACAGCCCTTAGCTTTGGCCCACACAGGCAGCTTACAGATTGGTTTGAGAGGTTGAATCTCTGCGTTTGGTGCTAAGTTGCATCTCGTCATTGCTATTGTGATAACTGGATGGCTGATCTGGCTGGTAGTGACCACCCCTGTGACTGCAAAAAGCCCTTTAAATTTCCACTTGGGACTTGACCCAAAGACGACCAAATCTTGTAAAATATGTGCCTGAAAATAAAATGGAACCCTACGATGTTACCAAAAGATACCACTTTTAAACCACCAGAATTCTGCAAAATGTTAAAAGTTCAGCAACAGAGATCTTTGTAAAATCCTGTAAAATAAAGGGGGGGAGAAAGCTCTATAAATTATATAATGTGTAAAATTGCATACAGTTCATTTAAACACTATTGTAACTGACGTTGCAGAATGAAGACATTGTGTATAATTCAATTTTTTTTATTTGCATGTGAATTCACAGGACAATAGAACACTCAGCCTTGTACAGAACGTTTTTAGCAGTTACCATCTCAATGGGATTGGTACTTCAAATAAAGCAATTACATTCTTTTGAACTTGGTACACAGTTTTGTCTGCGTGCGTCCTTTTTCCTTTTGTACGACTTCCCTCTCCTTCCCAATGAGAATTGGATGGTATTGGAGCAGGTGCAGAAAAGATTTGCGAGAGTAGTTGCAGGATTAAGAAACTTGAGTCGTGTAGATCAATTTGTGAAGCTGGGGCTGTCCTCCTTGGAAAAGGGAAGGTTGAGGACACTGATTTATATTTTCTAATCAACCTGTTCAGTGACGTTATTACACACCTCTGGAGTAGGTGGGACTTGAACCCAGGCCTCCTGGCTGGATGCTGATTTATGTTCAATAGCAAACGATCGACAGCCCAGTTAGGAAAGACCTTTTCTGATGAAGGGTCTAGGCCCGAAACATCAGCCTTCCTGCTCCTATGATGCTGCTTGGCCTGCTGTGTTCATCCAGCCCTGCACCTTGTTGTCTCGGATTCTCCAGCATCTGCAGTTCCTACTATCTCTTATTATACAGTGAATGGTTAGGGTTCAGAATTGAGTGTGGTAGGATCAGATTTGTGGTTTTCAAAATTGAATGGAATAATTGGGGAAAATCTTAGTGGCTTTATCAGGAAAGAGTGGGTAATGAGGAGATAGGTGATTGACCCTTGCAGAGAAGAGCACAGGCAGGATGGGCTAAATGGCTTCACATGCCTTCCAGGAGCCCTAGCCTGAGTTCTGCAGCTATTGGAACTTGACACTGCTCGAGTCCTGTTCTTTAAATCCCAGCTATTTAAAAATGCAAGCCCTCCTGTCCAGTGTCATAGGTAACAGGAATGTTGAAATCCTCAAAATGCGACTAGGAGATAGCAAGAACTGCAGATACTGGAGTCAGTGTCAACACAGTGTGGAGCCGGAGGAACACAGCAGGTCAGAGGAGCAGGAAAGCTGATGTTTCAGGTTTACACCCTTCATCAGGACCCTCCTCATGAAGGGTGTAAACTCGAAATGTCGACATTCCTGCTCCTCTGATGCTGCCTGACCTGCAGTGTTCCTCCAGCTCCACACTGTATTGACGAGTCAAAATATTCTGTTTTCAACCTCATTGACCCCACTTATTCTCAGTTCGGGGGCTCCGCACTAAATGCACAGTAAAGGCCAGATATTGCGTTAATCCACGAAGGATTGAATGTGAGCTTTTTGTCCTGCTTGGTTCAGTACGACACTGTTATATCCATGGGGAGATGTTGGCCGAGTGGTATTATCATTGGACTGTTAATCCAGAGACCCAGGTTATGTTCTGGGGACAAAAACAGAAACTGCTGGAGAAACTCAGCAAGTCTGGCAGCATCTGGAGACAAGTCAGAGTTAATATTTTGGGTCGAGTCATCCTTCTTAAGAACTCAGTTCACTCACACCAGTTGTATGATCCTTTGATCTTTCCTCCTATAAACGGTGTGTGTTTGTGTGTTCCCCTCTCACTGCACCTGACGAAGGGGCTGCACTCCGAAAGCTTGTCATTTCAAATAAACGTGTTGGATTATAGTCTGGTGTCGTGTGATTTTTGACTTTATCAATTGCAGCACTGCACTGGAATGTGAGCCTTCATAGATCCCTACAGTGTGGAAGCAGGCCATTCAGCCCATCAAGTCCACGCTGACCACCTGAAGAACATCCCACCCAGAACCACTCCTTACCCCTTCTCGGTAACCCTACATATCCCATGGCTAATCAACCCACCCTGGACACTATGGGACAATTTAGCATGGCCAAACCTGCACATCTTTGGACTGTGGGAGGAAACTGGAGCACCCGGAGGAAAGCCCATGCACACACACGGAAAAAAAAACATGCAAACTCCACCTGTGGGTGGATTCGAACCTGGGTCCCTGGCACTGTGAGGCAGTAGTGCTAACCACTGGACCACTAGGCCACTGTGCTTTGATTTTTATGCTGAAGCCTTGGGAATGGGATTTTAAACAATAATTTTCTAATTTAAAGACTGCTACCCACTGAACCGCAGCTAAAATTTGAAAGATTCTTAGTTGCTAATTTATTTATGAATGTGTTGCTATCCAGGTCACATGTGCTGCCATTCCAATTTGCCCCTTGAGAAAGTGGTCAACTGCTGCATTAAAGTGTTGTAGGGATACTCTCAGTCCTGTTGGGAAGGGAGTTCTAGGACTTTGACCGAGGACAGTGAAGGAATGGCAATATATTTCCAAGTCAGGGCAGGGAGTGGCTTAGAGGGGTATGTGCTAGGGTTGGTGTTCCCATGTATCTGCTGCCCTTGTACTTCTAAGAGATTGAGTTTGCAGGTTTGGATTTTGCTGTTAAGTGTGTTTGGTAGATGGTACACACTGCTGCCACTCTGTATCCATGGTGGAGGGAGTGAATGTTGAAGTTGGTGGATGTGATGCCAATCAAACAGGCTGCTTTGTCCTGGATGGTGTCGAGCTTCTTGAGTGTTGTTCAGAGCTGCACTCATCCAGGCAAGTGGCGAATATTCCATCACACTCCTGACTAATGCCTGTTGTTGTTTTGTTGATGGTGGACAGACAGAGGGGAATCAGGAGATGAGTTACTTGCTGCAGGATTCCTAACCTCCAACCCGCTCCTGTAGCCACATGGCTAAGATAACACAGTGTGGAGATGGAGGAACACAGCAGGCCAGGCAGCATCATAGGAGCAGGAAAGCTGACGTTTCAGGTCGGGACCCTTCTTCAGGAAAATTGATGTGGCCTTTCCAATTCGGTTTTAACATCCAATATTTTGATCTTGGAGATTGAAACAATGCCATTGAATGTCATGGGGATTCGGTTTTGTGTTGGACATGATCATTGGCTGACACTTGTGAAACGTTATTTACCATGTATCGCCCAAGTTACACAGAGGCTGGCTCTGCTTCAGCATCTGGAAAGTGGTGATTGGTACTGAACACCCTGCAATGGTTAACAAATGTCTGCAATTAGGGCCGTAAGACATAAAAAGGCCATTCAGCCCATCCAGATTGCAGGTCAATCAATGAGATCATGGCTGATCTGATAACTCTCGACTCCACTTTCCTGCTTTTTCCCCATAACCCTTGATTCACACCCAGCAACCTCCCCTCCCACTTCCTGATTAAAAACCCGTCCATCCCAGTCTGGAACAAAGTTAATGACCTAGCCTCGAAAGCACTCTGCTGTCAAGAATTCCACTGATTCAAAACCCTCGGAGAGATAAAATACCTCCTGATCTCTGTCTTTTATTCTAAGATGATGCCCTCTAGCCCTAGACTCTCCCACAAGGGGAAGCAACCTCTCTGCATCTACCCTATCAAGTCCCCTAAGAATCTTGTATGTTTCAATAAGGCCACATCTCGTTTTTCTAAATTCCAATGAGTACAGGCCCAGCCTACACAACATTTCCTCTTAAGATATAACTCATAACTCTACTCCCTCCGTACCTGGTATCAATCTATTGAACCATCTCTGAACTGCTTCCAATGCCAGTTTATCTTAGATAAGGGTCTCAAAACTGTTCACAATATTCCAGGTGTGGTCTGACTCGTGCCGTGTACAATTTTAACAAGACTTCTCTATTTTTATACTCCATTTTCTTTGAATTAAAGGTCCAGGTTTCTCTCTTTATTGCCCGTTGAACTTGGAGATACTTTCTGAGATGTTACGACACATAGCACAGTGGCTCAGGGGCTAGCACTGCTGCCTCACAGTACCAGGGACGCGGGTTTGATTCCAGCTTCGGGTCACTGTCTGTGTGGAGTTTGCACATTCTCCCTGTGTCTGCGTGGGTTTCCTTCCCACAATCCAAAGATGTGCAGGCTAGGTGGATTGACCGTGCCAAATTGCCCATAGTGTCCAGGGATGTGTGGGTTAGGGTGGGATGGTGTGGATTTGTTGGGCCAAAGGGCGTGTTTCCACAATGTAGTGATTCTATGATAAGGAGCAAGGTGGGACTTGAACCTAGGCCTCCTAGCTCAGAGCTGGGACCACTACCACTGCACCACAAGAATCACACTTCTGACCTAATGTTGGAGGT